ATATATATATATATATATATATATATATATATATATATATATGCATATATATTATATATCTAATATAAATTGACAATAATATTTCAATGAAACGTATACCTTCGTCGTAAGTTCGTAAACAACATTTTAAAATATATATTTTAGCATTAGATTACATTCTTTATTGTACAGCGCACTTCCTGCAAGATCTATTGTTGTACCTTTGAAAAACCTACATAATATTATACAGTTTAAGCCAAATACTTAATAAATTTTCTTATATTACAAATATCCTGTCACTTAGTTGTTTATACATCAGGTTTAGGCTATTGCTTGTGACAATCGTTGGAATGAAGTTAAACAAAAACGAGGGAGGAGAGAAAGGACATTGAAGAGCCAGTGAAAGGATAGTTAGCGATAGAAATACGTACTGCGAAACGTCACAAAACAATCGTAATTATATCAAAAAAATTATGATCACTTTACACTTATTTTATAATATATTCATACCTTGTAGCCCCTTGGCAATACAAGCTGGTCGAATGTGTTTTGCATGTATATGCCTTTATAAAAATTGATATACCCTCTGCTAAACCATCTAATTGTCAAAATTGATCTGTTCTTCATCAACACCTTATATGGGAGTGGTCACACGCGCGCGTGGTTATACAAGTACGTGTGCATAATTTTACCCAATGATTAATTTGATAGAACGTATCATAATGAAAAAAATGAAACATACTATTTAACAGAGTGAAAATCCTAATATAGTTATACACTCGTATACATTTTTATGATTAGTACATTACTACGTACACATTTTCCCCCACCCCGCGCTAAAATTAATGTGCATATTTATAATCACGAAGAACCAATAATATCTCATTTTATTATATCAACTTAAAGTTATATGATTCCTATATCAATATGTCTTTTGTGTATAATTACATGCATATTCACATAGGCATTATCTCGGTGTATTTGTTTCTAGTTGAAGAAGATTATAAGAATGAATATATGAATAAATTCATGCTAAAGAGCGTAATGAAAAGTACTCATCATGAACAGCGTTTCAGCTTGTAAAATTTTACGATACGTGTTTGTATTAAAATGGTTGCACTAAATTTGAATTCTATTTTTGCAGCCAACCTGTCTTTAAAATGTTTGCCTTAAAATTCTATGACATTTCTGAATGCTTTGTTTGGTATTGATATACCCCCTAATAAACTATCTTTTTGTCAAGGTTTATCTGTTTTTCATCAACACCTTGGTCACGCGGGCGTGTGGTTATACGAGTACTTGTGCATAATTTTATTATTTTTGTTTTCTTTTTTTTTTTTTTTGCAATGACTTAAGATGGTTAAGATGCTTGCCTCAAATGACAGTATCATGGGTTCGAATCCTGCACTTTTTCAATATTATTTTTCTCTTTGCGGCTATATCAACTTTATAATAATAATAATAATAATAATAATAATAATAATAATAATAATAATATAAAACATAATATAAACGCGTTTGAATGTATTTTAAATGTCTTTTTCAACGAATTTTAATATGAGAGTGATAAGCAATAACTTTTTATTAATTAATAATTGAAATTGCTACGAGGAATAACTGCAATATATTAAAAATGTGTATCTATAAATCCACATTCCAAATTTGTTTATATTTCTTTTTAAATTTGAAAATTGTTTATTAATTAATAGCAATTATAATTGTAATATAAATTTTAATTATACTTCAAGTTTAAACATGTCCTTTAATTTTTGTATCTTTTATTTTTGTATATTCTTGAATGTCCCGATGTCTTGTAAGTTTTGATCAGATGTTCATTTTTTATGTTCATTCTAGGACAAATACATTAATATCCAATATTAAGTTTGTAACCTAGTGTCTTTGATTACTTGATCTATTCA